TATATCATTTTGGAAATTCCTCCATATCCTAGCTGTGGGTCTGGAGGTCTTCAAGGAAGGAAAGTAGTTTTCATTCTATAAAGCCCACTGAAGTAAATAATATCATATTACTTAGTAAATTTTGCCACCTCAAAGTTCAAATTCAAAACTCTCACACAATTTACCCACAGCCACAAAGCTAAGCCCATCATCTAATGGACATTGGATTCTTCCACATCCTGTAGTTCTTCTAACATTATAGAGGTGGATAATTATACTTCGAAGTGTTATCGTGTTTCCCAAGCAGTTTCCATATTATATTAATACAAGGTTAGGAGGAAGCTGATTCTATCTTCCTGTGCCCCACAGCTAATTCACTGTCCCCAGAATGTGGCCCCTCTAGACCTTATCCTTTTGACCATGAAGTTCTCCTGGTCTCTTCTTTCCTGCTCTGTATCAATCAAGACACTAAAACGGATGCTATCAACTTGAGTCTCAACATGCTTATTTTAGGGGCTGGCTCATTGCTTCCCAGCATCCTTCCTAACTCCATGCTTCTGACCTCTTCTACCCAAGCCCAACACATTCAAGAGTTTGGGGACCTTACTTTATGACACTGATGGAGGGCAGATTCCTGTGTCCTTTGTAATGGGACTGGGAAGAAGAGTCCTATAGATGTAGGAGAGCTCTGAATATCTCCCTTGATCTTTACATTTTATATTCTCTGCTGCTCCATCCCTGCCTCTCTTTCCTTGTTCTACCCTCTCCTTACAGGTGCCACTTGGTAAATCTGCAACATTTCTCATGCACCCATCTCTGCAACAGTATCCTGGCTAAAGCAATCATACAGTGTTTACCTATGGAGGAGGCATTTCTCAAAATCTCGGCCAGAGAACACAGGCTTTAACTTTTAAACATTCAGCAATGTATTTTTGGTCTGGAATTTTGAGTCCAGGTACAGACTATAGATTCTCACTATATTTCAAATCCCCTTTTGATCTATGCTCAAGCCCTTTCAATTTTGAGGAATTCACTTTACATTTTAATTCATCATTTATTATTCACCACTGAAGGACCCCAGTGAAGCATATTGGTGTGCTTTCTTTTAATTGATAATACAGTGCTCCTTTTAAACAATCCTCTCTCATCATCATGGTATTTGGCGTTTTTATAAAGGAATATGACAGTGCCCTCTGGTGGAACATTGCAGCAATAGGCCAGCCTAGTTGTAATCCCTGTACCTGTGAATGTATTTTGAGTAGTGACAAATGGGACTTCAGGTTGCAGATGCAATTAGAGCTGATGGCCAGCTGACCTTGATAGAGAGAGGATGATCTGTTTACCTACGTGGGCTTGATCTAATCACACAGGTCCTTAAAAGTGGAGTGGCTTCCCTAGATATATTCAGAGGCACAGGTGAATAGGCAGAAGGGTGGAAGAGAAGGTATATTGCTGTCTGAAGATGGAGGAAGGGAACCAGAAGGTAAGGTAACAGATTGTCTCCTCCATCCTCAGAAAAGAATATGGTCACACTAGCACCTTTGTTTTATCCAGGAGGGACCCATGTTGGACTTCTGACGTGCAGAACTGTAAGGTAGCAAGTTTATGTTGTTTTAAACCACAAAATATTGCTTTCTACTTCTGCCTATTTCTCCCTTCATATTTCTATATCTTCTCTGACATAGTTTTGTTTTCCAAACAACACATTCTTTAAAATGAGGACCACTCTTTTTACATTTAGAAAGACTGATTCTAAAGCAGGTTTGAACTTGAATCCCTTTCTGGAAATTATGACTTCTATGGGCTTGGGGAATTTGTTTAACCAATATGTGGCTCAATTTCTTTAATGGAAATGGGTGTGTTAGTCTGCGAATCTTGCCTGGGCAAAGCACCACAGATGGGCTTAAACAGCAGAAATTTGCTCACAATTCCTGAGTTGCAACTCTGAGACAAGATAGGACGGGGTGGTTTCTTCTGAGGCCTCCCTCCCCTGTTTGCCTAAGGCCATCTTCTCCCTGTGTCTTCATAAGGTCTTTCCTTTCTGTGTGTCTGTGACCTAATCTATTTCATAAGCATTAAGATATCACCCTTAGACTAAATTACCTCTGTGAAAAGCCTATTTCCAAATAAGTCACATTCTTGGGTACTGGAGTTAAGTCATGGACCTAGAAATTTGGCAGCAGGTCATAATTCAGCCTATAACAATGGGAATATAAGGAGTACCCCCTTACAGATGTGTTATGACAATGAAATCAGTCAAGAAATAAAGAGGTTAAACCCTTACCAGACAAACAGCTATCCAAAACACTATCTCTACTGCTGCTTTTGTCACAATGCTTTTGACTATAATTTCAGTACCAATCTCTGTGTTATTCACAAATTGTTTCAATGAATTTTCACCCCAGTCCTGAGATGCATATATTACTTCATTTTATAGGTGTGGAAACAGAAGTTTATGAGTGGGGCTACCATCTTCCTGAGGTTCTGAAGTGGTCCTTTCCCTCTGACTGCAAATCCTGTGCTCTTAGCCACTACTTCTGAATGTTTCATTTTCTCTACCTAATGTGCTTAGGTTTTTAGACATGGTGGTAAAACCTGTTTTGAAAGCAATTTGACTTTTAAAACTTTTCTTGCAGGAATTCTTTTCCAACTAATTTTAATTTCACATTCAAAACAAACTTAGTATACCCTCCTTTTCTGCATTGTTTTCTGCCGTGTTCCATGTGCCCTGTGTTACCTGTGCCTTCATCCTTCATTAGCCAGGGTCGGATCGAAGCAGAATTGCCTCTGTCCATAGGCAAAGTGTGATCCCAATGTTAACAGCAGGAGCAGCCACAAAAGTGTCTGCCAGATTTCCTTTGTGCTATTCAACTCTTGTTTTGCTTGTACACAGTTAGAGAAATTGTTATCAAACTGAATATATACTTATAGACAGATTGCATTTTGTTGAAATAAATACTAGTTTAAATGTCTTCACTGTCCAGGCACTCATTTGTTCTTACTGTATACATTTTGTGAGCTGCACGTGTTCTATTTTAATCATTTCTTTTCCTGAATGGTTCCGACAGGAATATCACGGGGTATCATCCTTCCAAGGGCAATGTGCTAGTTTCCCATGCAAAATGCCTTTCTTTTTGTGTGCTGCCATCATGTGGGAAGGATGCCTGCTATTGAGAATGCCAGAGAAGAAGGCTATTAACTTCCCAGTGGCTCCTCTGAAATTCGCAACAATAAAAATGGATTCTTATTTCTGCTTCAGGGGGTTATTTCTGGTACCTTTTGTCACTTGTGAGAAAGCAAGCCTGCTTGCTTTGGTTTGCAAGTATAGCCTTCAATGACTTTTGTCCACAGAAAATTCTCACTCATTTGAGCATGAATAGAATCTAAGAATATGATGATGTATTGCTCCTGTGTTTATGTTACATTATTTGACAAAAAGGAAATTATACAGGCAGGTATAACCTAATCTAGTCCCCTAAAACACAAAGCCTATAGAAAAAAAGTGAAGTCAGGTGATACAAAGCATGAGAAAGGTCTGGCTGGGGTGCACCTCTGGCTTTGAATATGGAGATGACCAGATAAACTGCAAGAGCTAAGAGCCACCCTTCAAGGACAGCCGAAAAGGAAAAGGGGTCTTCAGTCCAATGGCCCAAGGAACTAAATCCTGTCAATAATAGCAATAAGCTGAAGTGAGGAGCTGAGCTCCAGATGAGAAGGCAGCCAGATGACACCACGGCTTTACCTTAGGAGACCCAGAGAGAATCCAGCCTCTGGACCTCTGACTTAAACAACTGTGAGATGACGGGTTGATGTTGTTCGACCTGCTCTATTTATAGTGGTCTGTTACATAGCAACAGAAATGGAATGTAGGTAGTTGTCATCCAATATCCTCCTCAGGGAAACTACTTGGTTAACCTGCTACTTTACCGGTCTATCTACCAAGGGCCATAGTAGTGATTTTAAAAACTCATCTACTTCTACCCAAGTGAGGTTCTGGTCCTGAATAGCCCCTTAAATGAACATATTTTATTTATCTCTCACACACACACACACACACACACACACACACGCATTCCCCCCTCTGGATGCCCCTAGGTCCACATGTGACCTATGAAATATTCACTCACCTCCTTTTCCTCTATTCCTGCTGCTCAGGCCACAGCACATCCCATGAAGTCCTATGGATTTATTTGCCCATCTACCATTGAGAGATTCTTTTGAGACTCTTTGAAGGATCTTTGCATATCTGAGGGATTTTTTTTCCTTTACTTGATTGTCGGGAATTCAATTTCATCAAAATTTCACTACCTTTGTTTCTGAAAAGTGAAGATTCTTTTAGGAAGTGTTCATATTTTGTTAATTCCCTGTGGCTTAGGGAGATTTCCATCAGTGGCAAAGACTTTCATTTAAACAGGAAAGATGTCCTAGAAGGACCCAAATGGAGAAAGGGAAGTAAGGAAAACCAAGGGCAGGGCAGGGCTTTTGTGCAGCCTAGTGAGGAAGGATCTCTTGGTTAAGGTGAGGGCTATGAAGATCAGGGTCTCCCTCCTTGCTTCCCCCCTTTTTTGTGCAAACAGGATGTGGCCATGCAGCACTGGGACGTGACTGCTGGTACAGAAGTACACAGATGTCTGGTTGGCACTGGTAGACACCAGGGTCAGGGGAAAATACTGTGTTTCACTTCGAGAGACAAGATGGCCCTCAGGGACTTTTCCCTTTTCGATGCTGCCAGTTCCAGGTGAGTAATAGATCAGCTGCAGTCCAAATCCTGGGTTTTGTTGATACCAGTACATTGTTAAATAATTCATATTCTGGGAACATTGTAGAGTTAATTTCTCTCCTGTCCTGGCAACCCTGTATCTTGGGAATTGTGTGACTTCAGCACCCTTGATTCCTGTGTTGCAAGAAGGAAAAAAAAAAAAAGGTCAAATAAGGACAAAGCCTGGGGAGTGGAGGCTGATGCTACAGTCACAAAGAGGTGTTCTGTAGTGGGAGCCTGGAAAGCAACGAAAGGGCTTCCTCATCTGGGCCACCACTCACCTGCCTTCAGGACACAGATGAACATGCCGCACAGGAGCTTGGCGCACATGGCAGCATCAGATGCAGAAAGCCTGGCACTGTGATGAATTGAATTCCTGGTACCAACACTTCCTTCTACTTCCTGGCCCAGAGAGACCACTCCCTCCTCTCACACAGTGTCAGAGACTTTGAAGTATGTGATCCTTTTGTTCATTTGGGTTAACTGCCTGTTTATGTTGTTCCCTTGAAGAATCAGCATGGCAATTTTATTTGTACCTCTGTGAATTTTCTATTTTCCTTTACATGTTATATATTTTCTGATATGACAGTTTGTCTCTTGAATTTTTACCAAACTATCACCATAAATTTACTATAATGTCATGAGGCCTTGAGTATTTGCTCTGAGCATGTCTCTTAGAACTCTTCCATCTTACTGCTCTAACCAAACATTAAATTCTACTTCAAAGATACTCCGATTTCTGCCCGCTCTAATGTCACTCATTTCCAAGGATGTTATTCAATCTCTGCATGTTTTTTACACAAAGCCTGTGTCCTTCGTGGTCTTGTCCTTCCACTCCTGGGGCTCCTGTGGGAGGGGAAAAGTACAGCCGAGGTTATAGAGCAGCCACTTGTACACAAACTTGGGGAAAACCCAGCAGGGCTTAAATAGGCTCAAAGAGAACTTGGATCTGGGGCAGAAACACCTTTTCCTAAAGGTTCCTAGATGGACCTGGGTAAGGAGAAGTCCTGATACTTCTGTCCTGTTTAGTGTGCCAGTAAGTGCTCGGGAAAAGTATTTGGTTTGGAGAAAATACATTTTATGGAAATTGGGGGATGTTAGACATCAGAGACACATGGAGGATCAAACACTAATGATGTGACTTGCTATTTATTGTTTGAACATTATTTCTAAGGAGACGTTTTTCTGATTCTAGGTCAGTTGGGGACAAGGCTGTGAATTGCCTTAGATGAACTGTTACGACAGAGATACACAGATGTTGCTGGGGCCAGGAAAAATCCCTCTCTTCTTTGTGGAAATACTGTACTCATCAGGGAAATCTTTAGTGCTGTCTATAATAAGCTACTGCATTTCCCCAAAAATAAGACTGACTGGAAAAAAATGCCAACCTCAATCAGCCTATCCTTGCCTTACCTGCCATTATAGAGTAGCCACTGAGCAAGAGAATAGTGAGGTAGATTCTTCTGCAGGACATTGGCCCTCACCAGCTAAGGCTGGGTCCAGGGAGGTTGTTCCAGTTAGCTCTTATTTTGGGGAAAACACGGAGTCAGTGAACTTGCTGTAGTCCTTGCCCCGGGTCACACCAGGATATTCCATCGTGACCGATGTCCTAAAGACAGTCCAGAAAAGCTTTGGTTCCTCCATTCCACTTTAGATATTGAGCTTCTGGAGAAGGATGCAGAAATTACAAGCAATGCCCACCAGAAAGTCCAATGTTATGTTTTGACCATGATTAAAAAGAAAACTCTTTTACTGGAGCTTTGAAATCACAGGATCTGACTTTTTCCTTATAACTCTTGATCTCACCAATTCCCAAGAGACAAAAAGCTGTTCCCTCGAGGGGCCTGACAAGTATGGCAGGAGAGAAAAGGAACAGGCTTTCTGGCTCTTACTTGTGTACACTCTCACTTCTCCTTTATATTATTTCTGACAAGTCTGAGTACTTCATTTGTGATGTTGTTAGCAACTATCAAGACCCCTAGCTTAGTGATTAACATGGAAGGCTCTGAAGAGAGAATTCCCAGTCTTGAATACTGGTTTTGCAACTCTTTTAGGCAAGTAAATTAACTTTTGTTATGGAGTTGCTGTGAGGATTAAGTGAATTCACGTGAAGGGGCTACAGTAATACCTAGCACATAGTAATGAGTCTCTTGGGCTTTCCTTTCTAGAGGAGTAGCTAGTAGTGTTGCTCCTAGTACTATCATTAATATTGACAAAGGAGGTGGAGAGGAAAAATTCCTTAAACAAGAGGGCCTGAATGCCAGAGGATAGAAGAGGAAACTCGTTCTCCAAAAACCATGGAGTGCCTCCTCTGATAGCTGGACCAAAGATGGGAAAGACAAGAAGGCATTTGCACTCTAGTCTCAAGGTGTCGCCAAATAAGCTCTCTAGAAGCCACAAAGAATATTCACCTCTAGCAATTAAGCCATGCCTCAGGACACATGCACCATAAATATCCTAAAAGTGACCTCAACTCAATTATAATCTCATTTAATTGTGGTTTTGCCTCCCCTGCTTTGGTGGGCTTTGGATGCCATGACAGCTCCTCAAATGTCTATTTAGAGACAAAAACTGCCCCCTAGAATAGGAGGGAGGAGAATTGTCCCTGAATAGAGTGAATACTGCCCCGGTGTCAGAGAGCTACTGCTTCCCTGTAAAAACCACGCAGGGGCTCTGACACTTGGTGTCTTGGGGCCCTTGAGCCCTTTTCACTGACCCGTTCCCATCCTGAGCAGCAGATCCTGACTAAAAAATCTGTACTTTGACTGCTACTTCTGTGTGACTTGCTCAATTCTTTGTTCAGGATAACAAGAACCTAGGATAGTCACAACCCCCAACAGCAGTATTAACACCATCATTTCAGGCTTATTTTTGTACGGGGATTGTATTAGACAATTCACATAGAGTTCCTCAACTAAAACCTCTTAGAGCAATATATTACTGACTTTATTTCATAGAGCAGTAAGCTACTTTTAGACAGCTTAAGTAACTTGACAAAACTGGAAATTAAGTGGGTTGATCCGTTTCCAAAGTCTGTACTTCCAGCTGTTAACAGTGAAGTTTTCTTTTTTTCAATTTTTATTTTTTGTTAGTGCCTGGCGGCAGTACATGAGGATTACGTTCTTGGTGGGGAGTTGGTGCATATGCATAACAGCCCTCAGCCGTTTTTTCATCTCCTTCCCCTCTGCTCCCTTGGCCCTCCCTCATCCCTTGCTCCCCCTCCCATTTCCAAAAGGACAATCTCCTACTTCCTATTTATTGTGACAATGAATTTTTCAAAGATTCTCTACATTTTTCTTCTTTCTTCGTTCTTTTTTTTAAAAAACAGTATGGAGCTTTCTTTTTGCAGAAATTATTATTATTGTTATTATTTTTTCTTTTTGGTACCGGAGATCGAACTCGGGACCTTTCACTTGTGAGGCAGGTGGCGACACCGCTGAGCTAAATCCCTGGCCCTGCAGACATTATTTTTTATTCCAACTTATAAAACTAAAACCATATTTTGTATGCTATTCTCTGACTTCCTGAAATTTAAAATATTCATTATTGTCAAGTGTCCTAAACCAGCTCTTTTTTTTTTTTTTTTTTTGGTACCAGGGATTGAACTCGGGACCTTGCACTATGAGGCAGGCGGTGGAACCACTGAGCTAAATCCCCGGCCCTAAACCAACTCTTTTTATGTTTTCTGAAAACCTTGAATATTCTTATAAGAACTGGTTTCTCCAGCCCACTTCATCTTTAAATTCCTGTTGGATCTCTTTTCGTAGAATATCTTCTTTAAAGTTCTGCTTTTAATCCATTTGAGGTTGTATCCTTCAGTTGTCCTATATTTTTTTGAACTGATAGGTTTCAGCATTTAGCACACCCTAAATTATCCCAAACAGCTCTGAGGAATCACACCTTCATGTAAGTACTTCTGTTTCAAAGTGCATATCCCATCCAGCTGAACATGTTTTTGTTTTAGCAATTTTTCTTCCTATGCGCTACTATCTTGCTTTCAATAAGGGGAATAGTTTTAGGGAATGATTGTTAGAATGGACACGCAGTTAAATACAACCCCTTTCCCCTCTTTTTGTGCTGCTGCTGAGATGGTGACTTGCACATGTTGTTGTTTTGCGTCTTTCATGAGAAAACTCACTTGAGCTTAGGGTATGGGATGGGGAAGTGAATGTGCTCTCCTGTTTTTATTATAAAGAGAATAATTTCCAAATTAAAAATCTCTTTTCTAGGGGTTACTTTTTGTGTCCCTCTGTCTTTCCTTCCTCTCAGGAGCAAGGAGAGGTGGATTTGTTCTGCTTAGCAGAGGTTAACACCCAAGTGTTGGTGCACTGAGTGGCAGGGAAGTTCTTTGAAAAGCCCTGTGAGCTCAGGGATCATTGTAGAGGCCCCTGCTGGAAGAGTCTGTCCCTGCACATTTATAGGTGAGTCATTTATAGGAATGGTAGTTACTTAACTTCCACCAGCTGCTCCTGGCATTATAAATAACATTAGAAAAGTTGAAATATTGTTATTCGTGTGTCAGGTCTTTATCTTTTTCCACAGGGATTTTCTTCATTAGCTCCTATTTTAAGTTGCAAAGTAATGGGGCCTCCACATAAGTAGGGAAGATGGATGAGCATGAGAGACTTAAGAACATAAATTATTTTGGCATGAGTAGAGGAGGGTGGGACACAACTTCACAGTCAAGTCTACAAAGGCATATTTAAGTCTTTTACTTTACGAACAATCATACATTGAACGTCTTTTATGTGCATCAAATATAGCACTAAAAACTGGGATACAGGAATAAACAACAACAACAACAACAAAAAGAGATCTTTCTTCCCCTGGGCTTATAATTTTGTATTCAGTGTATCTTGCACACACCTAAGCAGTCAAGCACCAGGGATAAAAGGATGAGGAGTCCAGTCTCTCAAAGATTATCCTTGCCAATGAGAGCAGTCTGACATGATCATAAAGCAAAACTGCAAAGTTGAAGTTTTTTTAAATTGTCATGGGCACAGAGTAAGAAGCCTCTATACTTCTTGGTGGAGACAGAGAGCTTCATAGAGGTGATGTGGTTTCAGTTAAGACTTCTAAGAAAAAACAAAATGTTCTTATAAACTTGGTAGAGGGACCAACTTATGCAAAGTCCAAGAGAACAAGAATGTTTTTAGTATTTCGAGTGTTGTATAAAAGGTTTGATAAAATCCCCATGAGAAACCAAGTGGAATTGTGCTTTTTTTGTGAGAAAGTTCTCTGACAAATCTGTTTTCTTTTAACCCTTTTTCTGATTAGGTTTTCTATCCTCTTTAGGGTTAGCTTTGTTAAACTGTGTCTTCATAAAATGTGACTTATTGTATTTAAACTTTAGGTTATTTGCAAAGAGTAACACAAACTATTTTTTCTAAAGGTATACTCTATCATGATGGTTATGTTTCCTTGACTTCTCTTATTTATTACATTTGTTCTCTGTCTTTCAGTTGACAAATAGCTGTCTATTTCCCCTACAAAAATTAGCTTATTTTCCCTACCATTTTCTGTCTTTTATCCCATTAACTTTTGCTCTTGTATTTATCAGTTCCATCTTCTTGTCTTTATTCTGTACAGTGGAGAAGTCTGAAATGAGATCCACAGGCCTAAAATCAAGCTGTTGCCTGAGATCTGCTTCTCTTGTGAGCTTCAAGGGAGGATCCAGTGCTTTGTCTTTCCCAGCTTCTAGAGGTGCCTACAGTGCTTGGCTCATAGCTCCTTCTTCAAATTCAAGGGCACCACTCCTTTCTCTGCTGCCATTGTCACATTCTTCCCTGATTCTAATCCCCCTGACTACCTCTTATAGGGCTCTGGTAAGTATACTGGAGCCATCCAAGTAATCCAGGAAAATGTCTGCATTTCAAGCTCCTTAACTTTATTATTTTTACGCAGTCCTTCTAGCAATGTAAAATAACATATTCACAATTTCCTGGTGTCAGGATAGGAACAATCTGAGAGGTCATTATTAACCTTTTCCAACATGAAAATCCCCAAATAATTGCAGCCACACTTTTGGGAGAGAGGTATGCTGAGGTCTGAGATCATGTCTTGGCTGGGAGGCAAGAACTGGTATAAGCCTGGTTTACTCATTTAGACAATGAATTTTTACGTATGGAGCAACTATCTTGTTCAGAGCTAAAACTAATGATAGAGATACACAAATTAAACCATGGACATGATTCTTGACCTCACTGAGCATATTTTATAGTAAGCTTATTGATCAAAATATACTAACAAATTAATCAAATATGTGATATTCTACAACAGAAGTTCAGAATGCTGTAGGACATTTACCACAGTCAGAGTATAATTATGGTGTCTTAGAGCATGTACCTCAAACGTGAAGGATTAGCTAGTTAGGGGAACAGGTAAATAAATAGAGACAGGAAGAGAACTCTATACAGTGTGACTAGCATGTGTAAAGGCTCAGCAGTGAGGAAAAAAGTACAATGGAACTTTCGGGAACACTGAAAGATTAACAGTAAAACCTTAGATTGTGAGTAACTTGCTCTGCGAGTGTTCTGCAAGGTGAGCAAACATTTCTAATAAATTTTAACTTGATAAATGACCAATGTCTTGTAATATGAGTAGTCCATCATGCTGAACATCACATGGTCATGACTGAGCCAATGGTTCTTCTCTCTCTCTCTCTCTTTCTCGCTGCAGGATTGCGGTTGATCATCTCTCAACAGCAAGAGGTTATGGAAGAGAAATCTGAAGAGAAAGATGAGAAAAAGGTGGAGAAATCCTTCACTTCAAATGAGATTAGAGAAATATGTAAAATGTGGGAAACAGTCCAAAATTTTGTAGAAAACACCACCCAAATAAGTCCATAGTGGTGCAAATGATGAAATCTGCTGAACAACAATGCAATGTCACATTCCTCCAAAATACTCAAAAGCAGGTAAAAGCAAGTGTCATTCGATAGGTTCCATGTTAAAGTTCCAAGAAAAGAAAGATTCCAGTGAGCCAAATGATAGCAGTGATTCCTTTAGTGACAGTGAAAGTCATCCTACACAATAACTCTCTTCTCTCTTGTCTCCCTCATTCCAGCCATGAAGGTTTTCAAAGGTAAGTGCAGATTAATTTATTTTTCTTTATATTTTGCATTTTCTTTAATATTTTATATTATATTTCAGCATCACAATCATTTTTATATGAATAATTTGGGGTCATAGAATGAATCATCTGCATTTCCATTATTTCTTATGGGAAAATTTGCTTTAAAATGCAAGTGCTTTGGATTACAAGCATGCTTCCAGAACAAATTATGCCCCCAACCCAAGATTTTACTGTATATGATTAGATCATAAATGTAAAAAAATGGGTTAAGGGTGGGTGCATTGTACATGTTTCTTTGCTGGAGTAAGCATATGCCTGTTCACTGTTGTAATGTACAAGCCTTAGCTCAAGAATCTATATGGAGTTTAAGAATTGTAGCTTGGGCCATGTTAGTTAAGAAACACTTGTAATTTAATACTTGGACATAAAGACGTTTTGTTGTACACCTAAAATCAATGGATATTGACACCTAAATTCTAATCCTAATCCTAATTGCAGATAATGAACTGGATTGGAGCAGGAGAAGGACCTCAGATATGTGATCCATTTGGAAGATGTTAAAGATTATTCAAGAAGGGGACATAGTTGCCTAAAGTTAGGGTCAGAAAATGGTGGAATTTGAGAACATTTAATAAGTAGATATTTAAAAGATCTGATAGGAAGAAAAGGGGCAAAGGGGAAGGGGAAGTGGGCGGGGTAAAGGAAAGGAAAGGAAAGAAGGGAATGGAATTAATATGAGAAAATGGAAAAATGGAAACAAAATCTTTGTAAATAGGGAGGGATGGAGGGGTTGAAGGGAGCACAGAGGAAGGGGGAGAAATAAGAACCAAGAGAGATTATGTAAAGGTGCAAATTTCCAATGATGAATGTCATTATATTGTATACCTAAAATGTACCAATGATTAAAATGAATTATTGATAATGTGAAATAGGAAAAAAAGGTCCAAAGGGGTAGGGGAAGTGGGAGGGGTAGGGGAAAGGAAAGAAGGGAAAAGAAAAATGATGAGAAATGGAAACAAAGTCTTAAGGTGGAGGGGTGAAGGGAGTGCAGGGAATGGGGAAAAAATAAGAACCAAGATACATCATGTAAAGGTACAAGTTCCCAATGAGAAATGTAAATGTATTGTATACCTAAAATGTACCAATAAAAGAATAATAATAATAAAAAGATGTGACTGTGAATGAGATGAAGAAGGAGAGTGTAAAAGTGGCAGTGAAGATATTTCAGGGTCTCTAGCTGGAGAACTTGAGTGAACAGTTATAGCATTTAGGGGTCCATTTACACAGAAAGTGTGTGTCACAATGTGCCTTAGAGTGGGATATTATCTCAAGCACCTAAAGGGCCAAGATCAGGACCAGGATGAGGAGAAGCCTTGTAATGAACATGATTGGGATTTGAGAAGGGGCTGTTCTGAAGAGCAATAAAGCTGAAAGGGCACATACAGGATATTAACAGATGTAATTTAATCTTAGAAATGGATTGTAATTTAATTTGAACTGGCCATATGTTGGGGAATGTCTTTTGGCTCCTGTGCATACTGGCGTGGCAGATAAGGGAGATAAGGGAGATAAGGGAGATGTTGCCTTCTGGCCTTTTGAAGTTAGGCACAAGGATGAAGCTCACATCAGACTGCACAGGAAAATCTTGTGGTGAAGATTCTGGAAAGGGTTGTTCTCTGCTCCTATAAGAGAGGCCCTTTCCCCAGATGAGGTGGCATCTTGTGAGGCTGGATACGCCTCCCTCTTGAGACCACCATGAAGCAGCTTCCGGTGTATTGCCCAGCAGTATCAGGTAGAGGGATGTTCAAAGGGCTTTGCAGAATTCACAGCGGGGAGCTTCTACTTTTGATGGGAAATATTGTTTGCAGTAGGGCTAAATCTCTTGTTAACAATATGGATATTTGTATAAAACCCCGGTGCATGTTCTGGGAACTCTTTTCTGTCTTTGGACTTAAATGCCCTCATGTGTGGGTAATGATAGCTTCCATGGAACTTGGGGGAGGAGACACTGGGGAGGGAACTGGAGGTTGCAGTGTCTAGAACCTGGCCTGCAGCCTGGCAAGCTCAGAACAAGGTTTTTCAAATTTCGCATAGAGCTACCTGCTCCTAGGAGTCACTGGCTCACACAGGAGAGAGTTGGCTATAGCAGAATGAAGAGGTCGGCAAATCCCTTCCAAAGAATAACAATCAGAAAATTCTAAGCAAAGGGGAGATACTGTCTTTTTTTTAAGGGCAGAAACCTATGTGTTTCTGTGCCAACAGTAATGCACACATGTCTTCATGGATTTCTGTGGTCTCTCAACAGTTACTTGAATTTTATTCAAACACTTGTTTAACACACTTTTTTTTTTTTTTTGGTACCAGGGATTGAACTTAGGACCTTGCACTTGAGAGGCAGGCACCGGAACCACTGAGCTAAATCCCCGGCCCTAACACACTTTTTAAAAGAACTCAAAATTACTATAATTTTAGTAAAAATAAATTTTTATTATGCTATTTTTGTATCTTAGTTGAAGGCCAACCTATTTCTGTTTCACTTATTCATTTATTTTAAATTGGCAAATAAAATTGGATATAGTTATGGTATACAATGTGATGTGTTATTTTGATATATGTATACATTGTGGAATGATTAAATCAAGCTAATTATCATATACATCACCTCACACCCTTACCACTTTTGTGTGTGTACATAAGTTGGGAACATTTAAAGTCTACATTCTTAACAATACGTTGTTATTAATCATAGTCATTGTGCAGTAAAATGTATTTCTGGAACATATTCTTTCTCACTGAGGTTTTGTACCTTGTGACCAGCATCTTATTATTCCCCATGTTACTGCACTCACCCAAATCTTTGGTGACAATCATTCTCTGTTGTATAATTTTGACTTTTTTAGATTTTCCATACCTGTAAAATCTTGCGGTGTTTATCTTTCTGTGTCTGGCTTATTTCTTTCTTTCTTTTTTCTTTTTTTTTTTTTTTTTTGGTACCAGGGATCGAACTCCAGTCCTGTGCTTTCGGGGCAGGCAGCAGAACCACTGAGCTAAATCCCCAGCCCTGTGCCTGGCTTATTTCATTCAGCATAATGTCTTCTAGATCATCCATATTACTGCAAATACCAAAATTTCCTGTTTTAAAGCATTTTTTAAATCCTCTGGATGACTTAGGTTAATTTGTACCCATCAAACTGTGAACAGTGCTACTGTGAACCATGCAGCAATGAATGTGGAAGTGCAGATGTCTCTTCCACGTGCTGATTTCATATCCTTTGGATATATATGCAGAGGTGAAATTGCTACATCATATGGTAGTTCTACTTGTACTCTTTTGAGGAATCTTCATATTTCTTTCCATATTAATTTGCAGTACTCATTTACATTTCCATAAGCAATTTCCATGGCTTCGTTTTTGTCCATATTCTTACTAACATTTGGTACCTTTTCTTTACTTGTTTTTGTCTTTTTCATAGCCATTCTAACAGGTCTGAGATGTTGTTGTGGTTCTAATTTTCATTTCTCTGATAATCATTGGTGATGAACATTTCTTATTTGTATACAGTCTTTGGAGAAATGTGTGTTCATGTTTTTGCCTATTTGTTAAATGTGTGGCTTGATACTGAGTTTTTGAGTTCTTTATACATTTCTTATATTAACTCCTGGTCAGACGTGGCTTTCAAGTATTTTTCCCATCCCATAGCTTATCTCTTCACTGTGCTGATTGTTTATTCCCTGTGCAACTTCTCAGTTTGATAAAATCTTATTGGTTTATTTTTTCTGTTAATGCCTATGCTTTTGGGGTAGTATCCAAAAATCTTTGTCAAGACCAATGTCAAAAAGCCTTTCCTCTGTGCTTTGTGCTAGTAGTTTCATACTAATAGCTAGTAGTTTTATAGTATCAGGTCTTATGTTCAAATTTTAATCTACTTGAATGATTTCATATTGGAAAATACAAAAATTAAGGGCCAATCATGTGATGACTACAAGAAAAACACTTTAGAATTAAAGACATACATAACCTGAAAGTAAACTATGGGAAAAGATAGGTCATGTAAGTAGTAACAATACAAGAGCTAGAGTGGCTGTATTGCTATCAAAAGAAGTAAGCTTTAAAGAAGAAACTATGATTAAAGAAACAGAGATTTCATGATGATTAAATGTTCAAATAAAATCAACATTATTTCAATATTGTACTAGAGATACTAGCCAGTGCAGTCAGGTAAGAAATTAAAATAGAACTCATTCAGATTGGAAAGAAATAAAATCATCTTTAATTCAGGCTACATCATTTTGTATGAAAAAAATCCTATAAAACCTATGAAGAAACTTGTAAAACTAATAAACAACTTCAATAATGTTGTAGTATAGAATATCTACAAAAAATGAATGTTTTAATATACTACTAATAATTGAAAAATAAAAGCAAAAATTCTTCATAATTGCATCATAAAGAAGAGTATTTTGTAATATAATGAACAGAAGGAATGCAAGACCTATACATGAAAAAATGGAAAAAGTTGTGATAAAAAAATCTAAAAAGGAAACAATCTATAATCATGGGGGACTTTGTATTGTTAAATTAGAAATTATCCCCAGATTTATCAATGGATATAATGTAACCTATATCAAAATCCTACAAAGACCTTTTGTAGAGACTAGCAAATTGATTCCAAATTTATGTAGGCATTTAAGGGCTTGAATAGTGAAAGTAAGATTCGGTTGGAGGACTTAACAATAGTCAATCAAAACATAGTATAAAACTATATAGTATTTAAGAGAGCATGGTATTAACAGAGAATAGACATATTGAGGGAATGTACAAGATCTAGAAATACATTTACCTACTTACAATTAATTCGTTTTTTGAGAAACATGTAAAGTAAATTCAATGAGGAAAGAGTACTCTTTCCAATAAGTGGTACAAAGATGATCTTATGCAAAAATGGTGAATTTGGTTCAATACCTCACATTATATAGAAAAATTAGCTAAAAACGTGCCTTACACCTAAGTATTAGAGCTAACACTTATTATAAAATTCTAAAAAATCTTTATGACCTTGGCTTAGTTATTTCTTAGGTGTAATGTGAAAAGAGTAATTCATAAAACAGAAATTGAAAAATTGGACTTCATCAAAATTAAATATTTCTTCAAAGAAAATTATAGAAATTGAAGAAATCACAACTGTTTTTTAAAAAATTAAGAAAATGGTAAGACAAGCTACAGTCTTGAAAGTCATGTATCTGAAAAGGGGCTCTACATACTAAATAAATAAAAAGACAACCCAATTGAAATGAGTAAAAATTTGAACAGATATTTTACTAAATCTTATACAAGATGCTCAACATCATTCATCACTAATGAAATGAAAAATTTAAAACCCAGTGAGATACAATTATATAATTGGTAGGAAAATGGCAAGAGCTAGGAAAGATCTGATGGTGGAAATGGAAAATGAAAGAGCTACCTGTGAAAACATTTTGCAGCTTTGTTTTAAATGTATCATACACATATCATGTGTCTCAGCAATTTCACTCCTAAAAATGTGTATTCTCACAAAAATATATATATAAATGTTCATAGTTGGACTATTTATAATAGATTAAAACTTGGAACAATCCAAATGTCCAAGAGTTTGAGGATGGATAAGCATAATGGAACAGAATGA